TCTATGGGTGAATTTGACTGCGACAATGTTTCAAAATTAGGAAGGGAAGCAGTGATTATTTGATTATATAGACGCTTCGCCTCTGATGCTTACTCTGCTCACCAGTCTAGTCTCTACAGCACAAAGTCTGCTTCGACTATCAAGGCACCCGGAAATAGCAGTTCACAAGAGAGTGATAAACATACAAAGGAAGTAGAGGGAAAATGGCGATAGTAAGGAACAGGAAAGAAAAAACAGCAGTTCCCCCTATACTATTTCGGCACAGAATGAGCATGACATTGATAAATCAGCCCATTTACAATTCTACGGTGCCTAAGAAAATGTAAATGCCCCCCCCCCCCCTTTTTGGGAATGACTTGAAGATACTTCAGTCAGTTGCACTGCCCTGGGGGTGCATTGTTTGTCCGTCTGCTTGTTTGTTTGTTTGTTTGCTTCTGTGTCTGTTTCATTCGTTTGTTTGTTTGCTTGTTTGTGTTTTTGTTTGTTTGTTTGTTTGATTGCTTAAAGAGACGCACATTGACACAACAACTGTCTTTTTCTCCCTTTAAAGAATAAATCAGACAGAAACAATAGAGGGAAAAAGAAAAGAAAAATAGAACCAACCACAGGTGCCCTTCAGACAAGCACTTAGAGGATTGAGAATAGGCTTGGGTCGATTCGAGCATGAAACACACCGACACACAATAAATAAAGTGGTTTGGACACGTTATAAGAATGGACCCACAACAGCCATTCTCAAAGGCTCACACAACATAATATGTGGGTGGTTGGCGGGTGCCCTTCATTCCTATCAAACATCTATCTGATCCAAACTCCTTTTTTATGTTAGTTACTCTTTTGTAACACCTCTAATCTTCGGCACGTATATGACCTCATTGTGCAGTAAAATCTTACTAAACCTAAACACAAGATACAATTCGATCGCTTTCAGGCTAAGAAAGGTCATGAAAAAGAAGGTTCGATGGAGTCAAAGATACTCTTCAAGGGCACAAAATGGAGATCCAAAGTCTTCCCTCCGGATATCGCGACATAAGAGGGCTATTTTTAAATAGTTTTTTCGAAAGTAAAGGAATACCCCATAACCCTAAGCCCTTGATTGCTAGCCTTCTTATACCTGTTTCTGTGTATATAGACACTGTTTTACCCACCCCCACATGGTCTCTAAACAAGGCACAAGAAAGAAAAATCAATGCATGTCAAAAGAGGTGTCTCCGCAAAACCATCAACGTCACCAGAAGAGACCGCGTAAGGAACGAAACTATATGTCTAAAAACTGGAATACCACCAGTAATAAAATTCATAGAGCGTCAAAGAGTCAAATGGTTTGGACATCTAACCAGAATGCCCTAGAAACAACTAGCAGCTAGAGCTTACAACACCCGATAATCCGGCTTCAAATCAAGAGGAAGACCAAGAAAGACATGGCTGTACGGGGTTAAAAAGGTCCTGGAACAACATAACATCTATCATAGACGCTACACACGTAGCACAGGATGGAAACTTTCACCCCCCCC